TAGTACTCTGCACCAATGTTCTGTCTGGATGTGATGGCTGCAGTGCACACATGGATTCTGTATGCTCCAGCCTGCAATCATAGCTCTCAGAAGCTCACCTAACTGTGAACGTTGCTGAAAATAGTTGGAAACTAAAAACAAGAGCATTCTGGAAATGAGGACAAACAGCTCTTCACTTTGACATAAAATTATTTCCAAGCTCTTGAATCCATTTGAATTGTGGTTCTTCTTTGGAGGTGATGTGTGCTTTTCTTGTTAGCATTGTTTGTTTTGCGCTTTCTCTAGCACTGTTACGAAAGTATCCGTACCTCCAAAAAAAGAAAGACTATTAAAGGCACCGAAAGACTATTTAAATAAGAAAATTAGAAAATATAGAAGGCGTATTTTGACTCTGTCTCTCTCTCTCCTGTAACTTGGACTAAGAATTATCTTCTAAGTTTAGCCAGCCTGTCCTCCACATCCCAGATCAATTCAGAAGAACCTTGCATGATAGTAATTTTATGTGGGTAACTAATCTGTTTTATCTATTTGGTTTTTTGTTTGCTTGTTTGTTTGTTTTGTGTGTGTTTGTGTGTGTGTGTGTTTGTGTGTGTACATCTGACGAGAACATTGAGAGTCAACCCTCCTCTCTCCTGACATTTTGTTTGAGGCAGGGTTTCTCTTATTTCCACATCTGCTCTGTGTTCCAGGTGTGCTGGCCTACAAGCTTCCAGGAAATTTTCCTGTCTGCTTCTTGTTTCGCTGTTAGGAGTGACTAACACCATGTCAAGCTTTGTATGTACGTTCTGGGGATTGAACTTGAGTCACTGGGATTGTGTGGCCAGTGCCTTTTCTTATGGGTCTCTTTTTTTTCTGACTTCTGAGTGAATTTATGTTTTGTTTCCTATCTAATTATCTCAACATATTCTCAACATGAGTAATTTCTTGATCCCACCCTCATCTAGATGACAGATCTTTGAGCAAATGCACAGGAAAACTGATGTTCCCCTTCATTGAGAATTCTACATAACGTATAGTCAGATTTGTTCTCTCTGTGTACCTAAGGCTTTGGCTAGAGGTCAAGACCCTGCCCTCTCAGAGGGCCAGTCTCTGCATTCTTACAACATTACTGTTTCATTCCAGATTCTGTGCTTGGCATCTCGAATCTCCTAGGCATCCTATTCAAGCACCCCCAGTCCAACTTAGAAGCTCACACAGTCGATCAATGTGTCCCTGGGCACATTCTTACTTCATTCTAATTCATTGCCATCAACATCGCACCAAACACAATCCCCTGTGTAGAGTTCAAGTCACAATTACTTTGCTTATTAGATTTATCAACACATACTGTCTTACATCTTGATGCTCATGGAGCAGGTCCTTGGAAAAAGGGAAAGTCTAGGGTTCGTTGCTTTAAAAATCACCACTATATTTACCCTTTACCATGCTTTAGGCTTCTCCCCCATGAATTCTCTGAGCTAATGAGCTCTTGGCTCTGTGAGGATGGATTTCAATTCCTTAAGTGCTCCATGACGTATCATCAGGGCTCACGAAGAGAATAGCTACGTCGAATTAATTCATGTTATCTCCATATTTTATGAAAGTTTTTGGTTCTCCAACTGCAGGTGGTTCTTGTTTTAGGTCACCTGTGATCCATTTGGGAAAAGAGTCTATTTTAAATGCCACTCTAAAATATGGGGAGCATTTTGTCTCTTTGCAATCTCATTAATTTGGGGACATTTAAAATGGATATATTAAGCACTCATCAATATACTCCTTATATATTCGGCAAAATAATAGAGGACATTATAGAGTTTAGTTGAAATACTGCGGCTCATTAGTCCATGTGGATGACGATGTCTATTTCTAGGAAAGATCTCTGATATTGAGAGCATAATGACCATCAGAAGCAAGCATCCTGCCCTCTCCCCAGCTCCCTACACTCATTTGCTTTGCTCTGTCTGTTTTGCACCCTGCACACCAAGGGAGCCCACTGCTCTTTCATTTCGCAGAAGCTGCTATAATTTTTCTTGACATGGCAATTACTTTTTAATCCGGTTAGCATAGACTATAATGGAACCAAGTTGTAAAACATCCTTTCCTCTTTTATTTTGCTTTTAATTTATTGCCTTGATTTCAATCCCTTTTATAAACCCATTAAAGCCCAATTACTCACTTTGAAGTCAATCACTAATCAATGCCATTTATTTTTGTATTATGGGATATGGAGGGGTAGTTAAATAGTCCGTCTGTATTCCAGTAAAGTTTATGATAAATATCAGACGTTGTTAGTGTTTACCAGTCTAAGGGACAAGAAGTTCAATAGAAAGAGAGGAGCATTTCCTCAGAGAGAAGGCAAGGTCTGCTGCTACTACAGCAGCTTTGCCTCCTTAAAAGGGCAGGGAAAACACACGCAGCATTTGAAGCAGGACCTAACTGTTCACAACTTAGATTGATTAATGAAGATGGATGAGGAGTTGTCACTCTCATTGATGGGGGCTTCCCAAATGAAACTGAAGCTTACTGGGAAACATGCACTCAACACACACACACACATACATGCACACACACAAATGCACACAGAGAGACACACATACATATACATATACACATTCATACACACATGCACACATACATGCATATATACACACATACATACTATATACATACATGTATGTACATTCGTATACACATATATGCACACATAATATGCACATAAATACATGCATACACATACACGCATGGAAACATACACACATGTATACATACACATGCATACACACATATGCACACTCTTACATAAACACATACATATATACACACATACACACATACGCACATACATACATGATGGAGGAGGGTTATCTGTCTATTGTGTTATTTTCATTGGTCAATAAAGAGACTGCCTTGGCCCCTTGATAGGACAGAAAATTAGGTAGGCGGAGTAAACAGAACAGAATGTTGGGAAGAGGGCTATGAGGCAGACGCCATGGAGCCAGCCACCAGGTCAGACATGCTAAATCTCTCCCGGTAAGCCACGACCTCGTGATGCTACACAGATGTTTAGAAATGGGTTAATCAAGATGTGAGAGTTAGCCAGTAACTAACTCTCTAGAGATAATGGGCCAGGCAGTGCTTAAATGAATACAATTTGTGTGTTGTTTTTTCCGGGGCTAAGCTAGCCATGCAGGAGCCAGGTGAGGCGAAAAGCAGGCCTGCCCGCAGCCCCTCACTACACATACATACATGCACACACATATCTACATCTGCACACATTCACATACACATGCATACATGCACATACATACATACATACACATGCACACATATACATACATTCATATACACGTACATACACACATAATACATATACATACATGCATATGCACACTCATACATATGCACACATACGCACACATACATACATACACTCACAGACACACACACATACACGCAGATAGCAGATGATTTTTTTGAAGTGTTTTTATATGCTTTCTACAGACAATTTTCAGTGAGGCCCTGGGATATGTAGGAGTCACCGTTATTATTTGTACTCTATAGATGATGAGGCTCACCTGAGGCTCAAGGAATTTGCTATTTGTCTCCAGCTTCTAAGTAGAACTATGTCTCATTCTATAGCACAGCATAGAATTCTGGATCTCTTATGCCTCTATGTGAGGTTTTCCCTGAAATAGTAGGTGCTGTGAAGAGTCAGAAATCACATGACTATTTTGATTGGTGACAGCAATGTGCTGGTAACTCATGCTATACAAACAAACCATGATGGGAAGCATCTGCCCATTTCTTTGATACAAATACTATCAATGTAACCAATTTCGAGTTCCCTAAAAGACATCCCTAAGCTCCATGTTGGGAAGAAATGTGCAAAGTGGTCCTCCTTCAAGTCGGGCTGGCTCCAGCATATAGCACAACTCTGCATCCTAGCTATTGAGGTACCTGTGCTGTGAATATGAGATCTGTGAGTCTGAGGCATAACTGCAGTGTGTCAGTAACTGTGGAACATCTATTTTCAACAAACATTTTAAGACTGCCAGATACGAGTCTCTGTCTCTTCGTGTGTTGGCAGCATGAAGAATATGCATGAAATTCTTACAGTGAAGCCCACCCACTTACATAATTATTAAGAGTAGTTAATGCCTGTAATAAAATAGAATTGAATAATCAAGTGAAGAGAGATGAACACATCTGCCAATAGATTGTGGAAAGTCAACTAAGTATTCTGGATTCTTCTAGATTGAGAAAAATAAAATGGAAGAAGGTACATACCACATTTTTGTCTGGGAAATGTAGTGGATTTTAATTGTATTTTAATAGATAAAGATTGCCTGAAGATCTGAGAGTAAAACAGTCCCACTAGTTAGCCTTAAAAATCAGGTTATGGTAACACACACCTTTAATCTCAATAGCCACAATGATACACACCTTTAATCCTGGTGTTGCACATCTTTAATCCCAGCCCTAGAGAGTAATAAAAGACGGGTAGATTGCTCTCAGACACTCAGGCTCATTCTGAGATTCTTGGAGGCAGGATCACTATTTCAGACTGAGGTTGAGGTAAGAGTCAGTTGCTGGTTGTTTTGTTTTTGGATCTTCAGGTTGAACCCTAATTTCTGATGCTGAGCTTTTATTAATTGTGCTTCATTTGGTGCCCAACTTTTTAGGGTATGAATTCACAAAAATGTCATTTGACTAAGGCTTTTTGCCATCAGCCCAGGCCAGGGTTGAGATTGGAATTCCAGCTCTAAAAATCGAAACCCAAACTTAGCTATCTGGGTTCAGGAGAAAAATTAACACTCTCAGCTCCAGTCTGTCCCAGTTTAGCTTCCATGTAAAGATGGAACATACACAGATAATCTGGATACTGTATGTTATTGTGTTGTCTTTGAATTGTTTGACTGCTGAGGAAGGAGCAACAGCTGCTAAAAAGACTTTTGATTATAAATGTAGCTAGATTAATCCAATTTATCTATTTTGATAATGCTTTGACTTCAAATTTTAAGGGAGAAGATATGGTTCTTTGGAGAAGAGGTTTTGCTTTTCTTTCCACAGGAAATGAGAGTTTGTGGATTCATCCTTGGTTAAGAAAAAACAAGGTTTGATTAAGAAAGACTCCCTGAAAAATCTGCAATGGGAACAGATGACCCAGATGATCCAGCATTTCAGAGTACATTTGTTGCAGTTTCCTCTGAGTTCTACATCCAGAACTGCCTCAAGACCGCTGGCTGAGATGATTCAGCCTCACAGAACACTGCAGTAAGGATTGACCATAATCTTAAATTTTCTGTGGGTCCCCATAAAATTATCAGCATCCCCAATGAGCAAGAAGTAGCCTAAAAAACTATGCCCATGTTCCCCCCAAAAATGAATTATGGATGTTTGTTTTTGTTTAATGTGTTGGTTGCAAGTTGTTATGGTTAATGGTCAGGAAAAAAGCTAAACAAAGAAAATTAGATTCAAGGTTCTTGGTTTACAAAAAAATCCAGGTAGTAGTAGCACATGACTTTAATACCAGCACTCAGGAGGCAGAAGCAGGCAGATCTTTATGAGTTTAAGTTTAGCCTGATTTACAGAGCAGTTCCAGGATGGGCTCCATAGCTACAGAGAAACCCTGTCTCGAAAAACCAAGTAAGAGAGAGAGAGAGAGAGAGAGAGAGAGAGAGAGAGAGAAGGAGAGAGAGAGAGAGAAGAAAGAAATGGAAAAAAGAAAGGAAAAGATAAAAGGGGACATAAATATGATAAGATAAAAAGGTAGATTATGGAATCTATTTTTTAAAAGCAACTATTAGCTTTAAATATTTTACATTGGTTTTACTTTTGTATATTGTTGCAAATTTTGTATATTGATACAAATTTGAGATTAATTTTGTTAAAATATATTATACATACATTTCTAATCTTGTTATACAGCTGTTTTAACAATGTAAAGCAAATTTCTGGTCCTTAAAAATTATTATTATCAACTCTTTAGGATAATAAAGAAATATAGTTAGTAGTTAATTACCTAGTATAATTGAACTTGTAATCATATTAGGGATGTTTTCAAGGACAAACAAAGATATAATTTAGATGGATAGATCATCTTCAAACACTTCAGAGATCTACAGAATATGGCATTTAAGATGTTTTAATAACCTAGGTTCTTCTTTTTATGGCAATGAGACATGTCTGCTCCTAGCAGCACCAACCTACTTCAGAGAAGACAATGGGCATCAAAGAAACTCCACATGGAGTTTATTTTCTTTGTGGCAAAAGTAAGCAGCTGGGCAAGAAAACACCTCTGCCTCAACTGCTGACATTATGTTGTCTTATTAGACAAGCAGGGCACAGAATATCCTGCTTCACAGAAAAGTCTGTCAAATATGCTAGGCCTGTAGGCTGAAGATGGATGCTCCAATGTTGCAAAGGAACTTTGGGTAACTGTCCAGGCAGTCAGCTGTTTCCATCATTACTTACATTTTTAGAAGTCACTTGTGTGTGCTTCCTGATTACTCAGTTAATATTATTCCTTCTCTGGTCTCTGAGGTAGTTGAAGATTAGATATCTACAGTTACAGTTTACCAGACACAGAAAGTAAGTTATGATAGAAAGTATATTAGGTGTAAGACTTCAGACTCACCAATATAGGATAGATTTGAAATATTTTCTTTGAATTTGCGAACCACAAATGGACTAGACATTGCCTGTATATATTGTATATAGTCATTGTACTTACTGTATATAGTTTTCTTATATTGGTTATAGTCCTTTTATTTTAGACAAATAAAGGAAATGTAGTGGATTTTAATTGTATTTTAATAAATAAAGACTGCCTGAAGATCTGAGAGTAAAACAGTCCCACTGGTCAGACTGACAGACCAGGTTATAGTGACACACACCTTTAATCCCAGTAGCCACAATGACATGCACCTTTAATCCCAGTGGTGCACACCTTTAATCCCAGCCCTAAAGAGGAATAAAAAATAGGGGTAGAGGGAGATTGTGCGCAGACAAGCTGGCTCATTCTGAGATTCCTAGAGGCAGGATTGCCATTTCAACTGAGGTGGAGGTAAGAGCCAGTGGCTTGCTGTTTTGCTTTTGGGATCTTCAGGCTGAACTCCAATTTCTGATGCTGAGCTTTTATTAATAATGCTTCAGGGAATTTTATTTTAATAATAATTTTTTCACTCTTTTAGAATTCCATGTATCTATACAATAAATGGTGAGCACACATGTGCCTCCTTATCTCTGTTGTGAAAATTGTTGAAGATCCACAGATGACTCAGTTGTACAGGAAGATTTGAATTTAAAAAATATGTGTGCAACAAATTCATAACAATCAAGGGAGATTCCTACTATGAGGAGAAAATAAAAGCAAAGCAGAGGGCTGAGTATGCCCAGCTTGAGAAAATATAGAAGCTAGGTTAGCCAAAATCAGAGGTCAAGAAATGTGCCTGAAGACACATCTCCGAGGATGCTCTGGGCTATCTGGACTGGAACTACCTCAGAGGGGGTAAAGAAACACACCGATCTCTGGGATCCACCCCATGTCTGTATTCAAAACCTCTACAGCTCATTATGCAAGGTGATATCTGAGGACCACACTATGCCATTCCTCTAGGCCTTTAGACTTTCAAAAAATGAGCAACAAAATGCTACCTCAGGGGGAAAATACTCTGGATGGAGAGTAGAGTCTGTAACAGAAAGAGCAGCCTGGAAAAGAACATCGAGAAAGATTTATGCCAGACACGATGAAATCCTGAAACTCCAGAAGATGATGGAGAACTGTGGGAATCCTTGAATTTGGAGAAGATTTAAAGGTAGGTTTCTAGCCTTGCCCTCCAGGCCATGGAGTGAGTTCCTTTGTGGGACTTGGAAGGCCAGCTTATCCCAATAATCATCCATTAAATTCAGTAGACTTGGATGCAGTATTCTTTACTAAATATTTCATGATTTCACAGTACTCAAAGGTCTATACACCATGGACAATTGGGAAACCATTTTCTTTCCAAGGAGAAAAAAGTTAGTAGTAATGCAGGGTTAACTAGCTCGCTTCAGGGAAGTGGAAGTTGAGGGGTTGGGGAAAAAAATTAAAAGTCCCATAGTCCCCATCCTGAGTCATTGGGAAGATGATGTTATTACTCAAGAAGAGGCAATGGGCAGAGCAGCTTTGCTGGAAAATATGGAAAGTTATCCTTTGTACAGAACAAATGGAGCCTATTTGCTCTTTGTCATCGCAGAGATGTCCCTCAGGCACACGGAGAGGTCACAGGACACAACAGCAAATACTAATATTTTATTCGCTGCTAAATATTTATTGGATGCTAAATTTTTTATCAGATGCTTACTAAGCCCTTTCGGTCCATTCTTATTTAGTTCTCGTGGTGACCAATTAGTAATTATTATTCTAATTTTACAGGAAGACCAAGATACAGAATACTCTGTGACTTGGTTAAGGTCATAAACCTGATTTGAGGCTGGGGTAGAATTCAACCCCAGCTGGTCTTCCCACAGGCCTCCAGAGGTTACATCCTGGACTTGGATGTCATAGCTGTGACCTTAGCATCAAGCAATTGAAGATCAGATCTGCCCGAAGGACAGGATAATGACGATTGTCCAGAGAGGCAGAAAACATGTGTTCACGGGCTGGATGTCATCCCCACACTGAAGACTCACCCAGGAAAGAAATGATTGTTAAGGCTGACAGGGAGCGGATAAGAGCAACTCAGAATCATCTCACGCAATCCAGTTTGTCTTGGGAGCAACCTCTGCAACCACCCCAATGCTCTTCTTGTGTCCCTCCCTCCTATGTGTTTTTTTTTTTCTGTTCAAGGAGAGTCCTTAATTTAATTTGAAAGACAAGAATCCAAGCTCACTGCAGTCAGGAATGTTTCCTGCATGGGAAATGTTAGACCAGTGTAACGGATGAACAATTGTAATAGTAATAACAAGCAAAAGATAACGAGAACAGAAGTGTTCACATATTTAAATATGCCCTGCTACATTTATTCTAGTGTTCCAAGTGTACAGTATATTAGAGAACTCTGTAGCATAAATTCCTCTGTTCTTACTCCCTTAGATAGATCGCTTCCCTGACTTAGAGTAAAAAAAAAATTAAAATAAGCACATATGATTCTATGTTAAGTTGCTTTCTAGTTAACCAGGGCATCTACACAAGTTCAATGGGTCAAGTTCTCAGTGGGACAGTGGAGAGCTGAGAGAGATGATTAAAAACAAAGCGGACATCTGTTTGAATCTCAGTACACCGTGTGGGAAAGGGTTTGTGTAAGTGGTAGAGATGGTGAAGCTACCCAGTGAGACGGGGACGGCATTTCAATGACCAAGGTTTAGGGATTCAAGCAAGAAAGAGCTCAGTCTTGCCTTTCAATTTTGTTTCTGAAAAAATTATTCACTGGTATTGCTGCAATAAAGCATACAGTAGTCTAAAGCAGACAGTCCACAAAAGTCAGTGGCTTTTCATATTTGAAAGGAATTATTCTCAGAAATACCATTTTATCTTCCATCAGCTTTAAGAAAAATGGGAGCTGATTTTTGTTCTTTTCTATGTCTCTTTAGGGGAATCCCTAGGAACTCTTCGCTGGGGAGAGAGACAGGTGCACCTGTCCAAGACTGGGCCCGCATCCATGTGAGGGTGATGTCGTTGCAACCCTGGAGTCACTGCCAGCGATGTCCGCCCCTTCAGCCCTCAGTTTGTTAGTAGGCACTTGCTTTCCCGCTTCCTCCTCAGGAGATGTGAACACAAATACATTCTCCAAGTTAACTACTAAATCGTGTGGCATCGGTCTCATGTTCCTCGGTTACCCTCTACACGAACCCCTCTTCCAGAGCTCCACAAGAACACAGCTGCAGGTGGCTTCCAGTCCAGACTCCTGTTCCATTGACAAAGGCTTTAATCGGTTCCCTCCGCCATTCCATAATCTTGTTCTTTACTCTCCTGCACACAAATTCTGTTTTTTGTCAGAAAAACTTCCTGCTGACCCCAACCATTTCCCATCTCCCTATCTTTCTGTGCTATACCAACTTTTTGTTTATCTGTTCCCCGGATTTGAAATGCTGTCTCCTTCATCTTGAAAGGGTTATGTGATATTTAAGGCTTAAAATTCAACTTAAGGGATTGAGGATACAGCTCAGTGGTGGCATAAGAGTCTATCTCCAGCACAAAATAATAACTAAGTAAATAAATAAATGAGTTTAGGTAGACATAAAGCAGAGAAAAAACAGCCCACAATTCACAACCCCAGAAAACCTAGACAACAAAGAGGACCCGAAGAGAGACATGTGTGGGTCTAATCTACAGGGGAAGTAGAAAAGACAAGGTCTCCTGAGTAAATTGGGAGTGTGGGGATCATGGGAGAGGGTAGAAGGGGAGGGGGGAGGGAGAGAGGAAAGTAGAGAAAAATATATAGCCCAATAAAAACAATTTAAAAAGAAAAGAAAAAAACAAAAAAAAAACCACTATTGTTCAAAGTGGTTACAGGTTGTGACTGGTAGTGTCGGGACAGGACTGCTGTTACAGTGTGACACCAAATAGTTTCTATGGCCTAAAACTTCGTGTGCTCTCCCATTTTCACCTTTGGTCCCAAGTGATACAGTTTTTATTTTCTCCAGACTTCCATTATCTCTTAACTCCGTAAACTCTAAGACCACATTTTAGTCTTCTGTTCCTCCAGGAAAATTTCCCCTCTCTTTGCTATTTCTCTGGGTGAATTAAGATTGCTGTTGCAACAAACCTTCACCTTTTTAACGTCATGTAAGACATATCACTCTTCAGTTATGACTGTCCTAGGGAATGACATATTGGTAGTAAAGAACCCAAGAAATTCCTTTTGCTTGTCTTATAATTGACAGATCCATGATTTGAACAATGCAACTGACCGTCCTCACTATGCCTAGACCACCAGGAAAAAAGGCTTTCTGAATTCTTGCACATCAGCAAGCAGCAGGTGGAAAGCAACACTGTGGCCAGGAATCTTGCTCTCCTATGTTCTGATCATTCTTAGGACACATCCAAGAACTCATGTCTTAAACTGCGAATGGTGGTAGATGCCCTTAATCTGAGCATTCTGGCGGGGTTTAGAAGATCAGGCGTTCATGGCTGCATAGTGAGTTTGCAGCCACCCTGAGCTACATGAGACCCTGCCTCAAAACAAAAATTGGGCTGGACAGATGATTAAGTGGTTTAGAACATTGGCTGCTCTTCCAGAGGACCCAAGTTCAATTCCTAGCACCCACATGGAAGCTCAGAATTATATATAACTCCAGTTCCAGGGGATTTGACAGTCTCACACAGACAAACATGCAGGCAAAACACCAATGCACAGCAGTAAAAACAAAACAGATATTTTTAAAATTAAAAAAAAAACAAGAATAAAACAAAACAAATAGTTATATCTTGCTTAGTAAAATCGTCTCCCCACTAAAGCAATGCTGAAGGGCGAGGATACTAAAGCTAGGATTTTCTATAACTTAATTCTGATGGAAAGTGGGTGATAATTGGGGAGCACCATTTCTTTTGTCTGAGATTGTTTCCAGCTTTTTCTAGATACCATTGATTCAGAGCAGTAACTCAGGGAGGAAACACTTGTTTAAGTATTGAGAATTGAGAGGAAGTCCTTATAAAATAACTAAAGAAAAATCATGGGGTAGTGGTGTGGTCAGCCAGCTGTCTTGGCCATCCTAAAGCGGAAGCCCCCGAAATGAGCCTTTTCTGCAACACAGGTGTCTTGCTAGTTCTCAAAAACACTGATCCTAGAAGCAAAATTAATGTTTGACTACAAAGGAGACGCCCAACCCTTTCTCAGCTTTCTCCCATTTTCTTTTGGAAACTCTTTTTCATTTCAATAAACAAATTAAGCATTCTGAAATTCAAAGGCCTGTACAATGGAAGCCGTCTCTTCATGATGGATTAGTCTGATGTTTAAAAAGAAGGTAGAGAAAAAATGCAAAACAAGCTGCCAGCCCCAGTTAAGGGAGAGCTAGATCACAGGTAACACGGGCTGCTGTTTCATCCGTGGGAGGTTAAGCAACATTTGCAGAAGCGTACGCGTTGCTCCGGTGTGAGCAGTGGGAGGCTGCGGGGCTGTGTTTGTATATTATTCTTCTGAGAACGTGTTTACACCCCCGGAAACTCCAAGAGCTTAGAATCTTTTTTCTTCTCGAAACTCACATCACGCTCTGACTCTTAGGAAGAAACCTCACCATCTCCTTCATCCTTAGGGCCTAAAAGACAGCACCGAGTCACTTCATTTGCAAAGGTCACCTTGGCTCAAGTCACTTGAAGTGACAAGTTCTTGCCATGCTGCTTTTGATCTTGGAAGTGAATTTATTACTTTATCATATATTAAGACTGTGCAGGTCCAAGCAATATCTCTGCAGAGTACATGTGCCTAGGCTATTGCTCTCAAATGCACAGCCTAAGAGTCTGCCACTTTAATTTAGTGTACAGTAAGTAGCACAGACACAAAACGTAAACAATGACGCCTACGGTACCAACTGTCTTCATAATGATAGATACCACTGACCCAGAACATGGATGCCTGCATCATTGATATTATCCAGTGCTGACTGGGAGCGCTATCAAGGTCCACTGCCCTGAGCATCGGTCTGGCACTTCTTGTGGTTAGAAGTAGGATCAGAGTACTGTGGTCTCCCAGAAGTTTGTCCTCTGCCAGACCCATCCTTCCAGAAAGAATTTCTACTCGTCTGCTGTGCTCTCTACTCCAAGGCCCCACTTCTCTTAGCTCTTTACTTAATCTTCACCTCCCTACTTTTGTAGGATTTCTACAAAAGTAAATATATGTAAAACGTGTAAGCAGCTGAAAAAAAAAAGAAGAGAAAGGGAGAAGAGAGAGAGAGAGAGGAGGAAGGGAGGAAGAGAGAGATTCCAAGGCACCCAATGTTATATTTTAAAGGCTTGACCAACTCAAGACAATGAGGTCAAAGTTCCAAATGTCAAAGTCTGTGCTACCTTTATGGACATAAATCCTTCCTTCAGTCTCAATTCTCTCAGCTACAAAATGAGAATTATGACATTTCTACCTAGCGATCAAGCTTCATAAATGCTTTCAAGGATAAAACATGCCAATGTTGGTAACATTCTGCGCTGGAAATGTATTTGTCCTCACAGACATGTTGACCATATCAGTGTGTGTGTGTGTGTGTGTGTGTGTGTGTGTGTGTGTATACAAACAGTTGGAGAAATGTGTATGTATATATGTGAGTATGGTAGCTTGTTTTCTGGACAAGGCTACACAATCTCAGAACTGTTTATATTTTAGGTTGGACACTCCTTTGTAGTGGGACACTGTCCTATACATTGTGGAACATTTGGAATAATTCTCAGCATTTGTTCAATAATCACCCTGTGCATTGTGGCATTACAACAATGCTTCAGACATGGTCAGAAGCCCTCTTCTCTCACCGTGGATCTAGGGCAAACAGTGACTGTTAGAGGTCTATGTCACTGACTTGAAACATTGTGGGTGCCCTAGAGCGACAGAGATCCTAAACCGGGGACATTGTAAACAAGACAGAAGAGGCATCCTTAGAAATTATTCTCTCAAAGAAGTATAAAACCAAGACCTGGGAGGCACAGAAGGAACCTGTAAGATGAGTGAGCAGAAGCTACATTCAGCAGTTTGTTGTAGCATCGCTGTGGAGATCTCAGAGGCAGGTGTTGGCAAATTTCACACTAAGAAAGAATTTCAGTACAGTTGTTATCCAGAGAGGGTTCTGGAAGACAGAAGCTAACATTCCTTCAAAGAAACTGGATGAAGCACATGTAGAAAAGAGAGGAATAATCCTTGAGGAGATGGCCTAAATGGCCCATGAGGAAATGGCCTGCATGGCAGAACTCTCTTCTCTTTGATTTCTTGACCCTGTGATATTCCAACCTCTGGGAGTTCTGATAGCTCGCTCCGTTTCTTTTCTATTTCACGCTTTCCTGTTTGCAGTTCGTGCTCTTGGGATAGGGACACTCAATCCCTTCAGCTTGATGGTATCAGAGTGAGCGTGAGTTTCTGAGGCCTTCTGGTGGTCACGCCTTCCTGTCCTAGCTCAAGAACATTGCAGATCAGCACCGACGGCGCACAGGATGAGGGCAATTGGAAACACTCCGTGCATCAACGACAGGAGTTCAGCTCTGAGGCCAGCACCGCACGCGTCCAGATGGGGCCATCCATCTACTTGTCAGGGCGGGATACCAAACAGTAGAAGCTGAGGAGGGCCTGTCATATTGACAGTGCCCCTTGAGCCCCACTGGGGGGCTTTTGAGGTCAGTGCTACATGATAAACCCTTTTGTCCCACTCTGCTGAGAGAATGCTGAGAGAGCCAGCGAGATATAGATAGTGTTATGTAAAACACAATCACTGGAAATATCTCAGCATGTGTCTTGCTGACAGTGGGAAGTCCAGCTCCGAGAAAAAAACACTGTCAGCAATAGTGGTTATTTATGTGAAGGATTAAGCTAGAAAATGCTTATTCTTATTGATATTTTTGGTACTTCTCCCAGAATTGAAATTGTTTTCAATATGCTTTTTTGCTTGCTTGGACTTTCGTGCTTACAACTGATCCTCATGAATGCATCCATAAAGCTCGCATTGACCACTGTGCATTTCATCCTTAGATTATATGGAAATTGAGCTATTATCGCAGAACGTCTTGCGCCAGGTGCCTAAAACTCTCCATCCAGATCTCTGATATATCCTGCCTTAGTTCATTGACCCGGAGAGGGTCACCAATCCTCTTTGTCATCCCCAGATATTAATCTAGTGCTCTTGCCTATTTCTTAGCATTTCTACAGAAGTAAATATATGTGAAACATGTAAGCAGCTGGAAAAAAAAAAGAGAAAGGGAGAAAAGAGAGAGAGGAGGAAGGGAGGAAGAGAGAGATTCCAAGGCATGCAATGTTATATTTTAAAGGCTTGACCAACTCAAAACACTCTTCACAGGAATGTAAAAATAATGACAGAACTTTTATATCCTGTTCTGGTCATCCCAAGTCAAATGTAACACTTCTTTTTTGGGTGTTTTTTTTCCCACTTCACTGTG